TTTGCTAGCGGAAGCGTGAGAAGCAGAACCGTGAGCTGTCTCGCACAGCAACTGAGCTTTCATGGCAGATGTCAGTAAACCCAATTTTTGTATTTAGGAAAAAAAAAAGAAGAAAAAAATATTTCCTTTTTTTTGTAGAGCTTCCTTTGCATATGTCTGGCTGCACTATCCACAGGGCGGAGGGTGGCAACAGAAAGCAAATACATGCTCCAAGGGACAGGCTGGGTGATTTCTGTTCACATCCTTCTCGCTGTGGATGTTCTTGGGAGGGGGTGCTGAGGAGCACAGGATGTCAGCACGGCAGGTGCTGGGTGGGCTGCACCTCTCAGGGCTGCTGCCCAGCTTTGCCTCTTGCCTCTGCTTCCCATTGCTACTGCTTGCAGTGACCCCAGAGTGCAATATGTCCCCCAAAGTCACTGGGTTGCAGTGCTTGGGTGGCTAATTAATGGTGCCCTTGATTAAACCTCTGGTGCCTCAAGCAGTGCACAAAAGCACTTGGCTGCTGGGAAGTCGGGCAGGAGAACTGGTACTTTAGGTTGTTCGTCCAGTTTCCTCCCAGTTGCCTTCCCGGGGATGCCAAGGCTCTTATTTAATAACCGTGCTGGTGGGGTGTCCCAGCAGGGTTCCTGCAGCTCCCCTGCAGCTCCTGGAGCAGGAGATCTGGTGCTGCCCTCCCGGAGCTGGTGCTCCCCCAGAGAGCTGGTGCTGCCAGCTGTGGCAGAAAAATATCTCTTAAAACTGTTTTGCAGGAGAGGGGTTGTAAGGGATAGGGAAGAAACTTAAAATTCTCTAGTGTGGAGTGGAGCCAGCTGTCTGTCTCACGCCATCCCGTATTGACGCACCTTATCAGCGAACCCTCCTTTTGGTCCCACTTCTGATCAGGTTACAACATGGTGCAGTAAAACTGCTGCTCCCTGCACTGACCGGGATAATGGAAAAGCCTTTAATAATTCAGGGGATAAATCCTGTGCTTGGGGTGGTGGATTTTGCAGGAAAAAGTGCAAAAATAGAGGTGGTTCTTGGGTGGGCTGAGGAGGGCTTGCCCATGCTGAGTGACAGCCCCATGGCCTTTGCTCTCTGCAGATCGTGATGTACATAGGCCAGGTCTCCAAGGACATCCTGAAGTGGCCTCGGCCCCTCTCGCCACCTGTTGTCAAGCTGGAAATGAGGACGGATGCAGAGTACGGGATGCCTTCCACACACGCCATGGCAGCCACCGCCATCTCCTTCTCCTTTCTCATTGCAACCTTCAACCAGTACAAGGTAGGGGGTACCAAAAGAAAAAAAAAAAAAGAAAAAAAAGAAAAAAAAAAACAAACTTGTCTATTGTGTCTATTTCCAGCAAGCTACAGAAAATGAGCAAATCCAAAGATGTTGCTGCTTCCAGAGGAGCTCTGTATTTATTTTCACAGATGTGTATTTTTCCCTGTTGTTACCCATAGCTGGCCAATAATAGACACAAGAAGAAATTCAACAGAAATCTTTCTTTAGCATGAAGCCTGCTCAGAGCCGCAGGTGGGCTGCCCTGCCCTGCTGTGGTTTGGTGGGTTTGCTGTGTTTCCACATGTGGGGTGATGGTGGAGGGAGCCGTGGTGCTGCTGTGGAAGGTGCCCAGCATCAGCGTTTTGTGCTTGCCCCGTGCCTGCCAAACTGCTCATTGGGGAACACTGGCTCCCAGGGAAACCACAGGAGCTCTGTGTTGCCTGGGTTTTGTATGATGCAGGAAAAGCATCCTTGGAAATACCCTGGCTCTAACCTGTGTTGGACTAATAGCACACACCATGATTTGAGAGCCTGTTTTTCAGAGGAGTGACAGCAGTTTCACTGCACTGGAGCTGTAGGCTGCTTGGGGAGATCTCATAATTATTTTCCCCAAACCTTCAGCCTTTTATCCTTCTGAAAGGTTTACTTCCTGGAAACTCATTTCTCCACAATGATTATTTTCATTTCATTTTATGAATCCAGACGTGTTTCCTGTACTCTAGCAATAATAACTTCCTGGCTGCATCGTATTTAAGTGTGTTTCTCAGCCTTCTCAAGTGCATTTCAAAGACAAAGCCACGTAACCGAGATGGCTCGCAGCATGGCTGGAGGTCTCACTGTCGCAGTGTCCCTGGGTGTCCTGCCCATGGTGCCAGCATGTGTGGGGGGACAAAAGGTGGCCACCCACTTGATGGAAGGTGCCATGTCCTGGGGCTGTGACTGGTAGTAACTGAGCTCTCTGAATTACACCCAGATCTCTGAATTAATTTAACTTCCAGATTCCCTGGGTCCCATCCAGGAAGCAGTGGGCTTTACTCCTGTCGCGGTGCTGGGAGGAGTGGTGCCCAGGGTTGTGCCACCAGCCTCCTGCTGCCTGGGAATGGGACGGGAACTGGTTGGAGCAGCTCTGCAATGGGATGGGGAGGAGGAGCCATAAGATGGGATATTTGGCAGCCCTGGAAGGTCAGATCCATCCTGTGTGTCAGATCTGCCGAAAAGACCTGGGCAGCAGCACTTTCTCCTCTTCCTCAGTTGATAAGCTGCCCATGGGACACGTAGATCTTCATGGGCAAACTGTCATGAAACTATAAAGCTGCTGTAAAATAATTAAATTATTTAATTGCTTCTATTAAGAGGGGAAAATCTACCAGTACATTACGCTACTGTCTTCTAAAGCTGCCCCAGTCATCAATTACTGATCTGGACTAGGTCCCAGGCTGCCTGCTGAGGGATGAATCAAGTGGGCGTAAATCCTCTGAGGGCTTAGAGAAGTGAGGAAAATGCAGCATTTTATGAACTGGGAGTGACATCTGCAGCTGAATCTGAGCTCTCTACTTCAAGGGCTATAGTTTGCAGGGGGGAAAGGGTCAGAAGCGAGTTGTTATGCTTAAAATTTTCACAGAAGGATTTTTGCACTGACCTGTGGCCACCCTGGTCAGTCATCAGCCTCTCAGCGGTAGAGACCCAGTGTCAACTCGGGTGAATTAATTTTGTTTATTTATTTTTGGGGTTGGTTTATTTTTTTCAGAAAAGTGTCCTTTATAGCCTGAAAGGAGCCCACCAGCCCACTGCTTTCAGGATTTGAATGAGTGGATTAAGGGCTAATATGTTAAGCTTATTCTTTACCAAATATGTGGGTTTTTTTTCCTCTTTATGTTGATTTATTTCGACACTTCTTTCCATGTTCATAGGAAACTCTTAGAGAGAGTTAAGCAACACCAGCTTCATAAGAAGACAATTAAACCTTAAGTGTCAGAGGGAAGAGTGGTCCTGACTGCTCTGATAGCTGGGCTGCGGTTCCAGCCCAGACATTGGCTTTCCCCTCCCAGCCTCTGCTCAAGGACTATCGACCGCAGATCTGGTCAGGCTCTGCGGCTGTCGCCTTCCCCTCGGGTGATCCGAAGCTGCAGTTCAACAACCTCTTCTCCTTAAGGTCTTCAGCACTAACATGGATTTTGCAGGTGGATGTTGTGGGATAAAACTCTGCAAATAGTGTCTGTTTCTCAGGTTTCCCCACACTAAGACTAGACCTTCACAAAAGCGGGCACCACAGATAACGAAACGCCCTTCCAGCAGGACTGCATGTCGGCCAATGTGAGGTCTTGTCTGGGGTCAGGTTAATTTCTTTGGGAAAGTACAGCTCAGGAGCCACTTCCCAACGCGAGATCCTTACGTCAGTCCGGCTGCTTGGACGCTTGATTTCAGATATCTACTGATGTTAAAGTGGATAACAGTGTAACGTGTGATTTTTTTTTTTTTTTTTTTCCTCCCCTGTTCACAGTATCCGTTTGAACTCGGCCTGGTCGCAGCGTTTGTGTTTTCGACGCTGGTGTGTCTCAGCAGGCTCTACACAGGGATGCACACGGTGCTGGTAAGGATGCCCTGCGCCACCCCAGCCGGCTGTACCTACAGCGCTGCCCGTCTCCCGCTCTCCAACTGATGCTCATCCTGCCGCGGGCGTGCCACTGCAGGAGTACAGGAGCCATACCACTAAATTTCAGGCTGTGTGTTCAAGGCAGCTGTGAGGAAGCCCTCCAGCTATGGCAGCCTGCAGGGGCATTCCCTGCGCCAGGAGGGCAGCGGCAGCGCGCGGGTGGAGGAGCGGGCGAGGTCGGTGTGGCAGCTGGACTGGAGTTCTCTGTTTGGAAATTTTAATTGCCAGGAATGCACTTGGGCAACCGACGCGGCTCCTTAGCTAAGCCTTTTGTGCAATAGTATCAGTGTTGTCAGCAAGAAAGATGCCGGGGTGATTTAGCCTGGGAGTGTCAGGGGAGGAATAGCAGGTGGGTGAGTCAGGCCAGCAACCGGCGGGAGCGGAGGAGAGGGTAAAGCGTGACAAGTGAGCTGCCCTTGGGGCGCTGGGGGACAGCGAGGCTCGTGTTACCCCACGGGGAGATGGCACTTAAAAAAATATTATCACAAGCTTCTTGTTTTCAGCTGATGGGAAATCCATTTTCACAGAATGGAGATGCACAAATACTTCGAAAACATTCATAATATGCCAGTGACTTCATGTGACAGACTTGTTGGGCACAGTTGTTTAGAGATGTCAGCCCTGCTTCAGAACAGATTTCAGTGTGACTTTGATTAGGCAGTAGCTGGTTTCATCCTGACGAGAGGAAACTTTATTGATTTGTTACATATAGCAGGTGGAGGGGTGGTCCAACTGCCTAACTAGGGGTAAAAACTCCTGGCTGCTTCCCCACAGGAATTTCTTCTGCATTGTTTGTGGGTTGCATATGCATAAATAATTGCATTTTTTTTCCTAAGTAATAATTATGTTTCTTGTAATAAGGAGGCTTGATGAATGTAAGAAAGGGAGCCCTTATGAGATTAAGGTTATCTATAAAATATAGCCTGACCTTCCCCTCCAGGCCTGGTGGATCAAAACAATATTTTAAATCAAAGCTGGAGACACCCTTTCTTGGCTAGTGACCGTAAGTCAATCTGTAAAAATTCTTCACATACTTCCTTTGCTGGTCCATCATAATGAAAGACTCCTCTAAATTTAGATGGATTTTAGGGTAAAGAAGAAAAAGTCCTTTGTGCCTTTGACATGATAAAAAAGGGCTTTAAAATAAAAATAAATCTCCTTAGTCTAACTGTGTGCAATGCCACCTTTCAGAAGGACAAACGCACTTCGCTGGGGTCTTCATCCTGTGCGTGCCAGGGTGGGGACTGAGCTGGGGAAACACCTGATGGTCACTGCTGCCCAAAGCCAGCCCCTCTCTCTGTGGTGCTGTGCATCCCACCCG